GAAGGTGTACGGCTGGTCCAAACCCTCCAAGGTGATTCGATCATCGCCTGAGCCGTCCACGGTCATCGCCATCCCGCACTTTTCGAAAAGGCGGTGTCGGTACCCCTGATTGCTGTTGAGTTTTGCCATGGCCGCTCCCGTCCATTGATTGAGTGATTAGTACGCGCCGGTCAGAAGCTGTCAGCGACGCGGTTTCCTACCTCTCGATGTTGTCTGACTGATCGAGCCACTTGTCCATCTCGTTACCAACTTCCACCTTGAGAAATCGTCCGGCTCCTGCATCAACTGGCTGCACCTCGTCCGTGCACTCCGCAGGGCCAAGCCAGGCGATAGTGTTGCACTGCTTCGCAAGATACCCCTTGAACTCGTCCGTGGTCTGCGCGTGCAAGTTGTCCATTATCAGAATGGACCTCGCCTTGGGGAGCTCACCCCGCCCGCGGATCAGGCCTTCGCGGTACGACCTCTTGGCCCACTCCATGCAGAACTTTTGGTCCGCCCACGCATTCTCCTGGAAAAACACGTCCAAGTCCTTGTGGTACGCGGCTTTCTCCACCGGCGAAATCCGCTTCCCCTGGCCTCGGAAAATCACCGAAATCCGCATAGTCTTCTCACCCGGACCAAAGATGACTTGCATGGTGCACTTCCTTTTCTCTAGGCCAGCAAAGGGCTGCGAGATGGCTACACGCAACGCGCCTGTCTTCTCCCACGTGCTGGTCAGCCCGTTCACGAATGGCAAAGGCACTTGATCCACATTCTAACGCTCCCAGAGCTGGAACTGACCGTACTTGGGATCTCTGGACTCGCCCTCCGCGACCGTCGACATCGCCGACACGTCCGATGCCTCGGGTGCCCTGTACCGTACCGGCTCTTGCAGGAGCTCGCGAAACCGCCGGTGGAAGCGCTGGATCTTTGGTAGGCGCTCTTCAACAGACTTGTCCTTGAGGTTGCTCCTGCGCCGTTTGGACAGCTTATGCCTCTTTGCCCATTTTCGTGCCCACCTGAAGGACGCGCTGAACGCCGCCGCCCGTTGGTCCTCAGGGTGATTCTCTTGCACGAGCTTCCGGAACGTGACCGTCAGCCACAGGGTCGACACCTTCAGCTTCCTCCTCCGCCGCGCCAAGAACATATTGTACAGCTTCTTCTCTTCCTCAGGAAACCACCGCTTTGGCTTCTGTTTGGCAAGGAGGGTCTTCTTTACGTCATCTGCTTACTGCCGATTGGACTATATTGGCCTCGTCCTGAGCCCACACTTCACGATCAGGCTGTAGTTAACCTTGAGACGGTCCTCTAAGTACTGGAGAGGCGTGAGCTGCTCCTCCTTGAAGAGGTCTGCGGCGTCTTCCTGGAGGAGGCGCAGCTGGGTCACAACATGGGCTTTGAACCTGAATCGTACCGCTTGCGCTTCGCAGCTCCACGAGTCTCCTTGACTTTGCGGTCCGTAAAGCCGTCGCTTTCCAAGTCGAGATCGCGGAAGCGCTTCCGTTGGAGGACGAACGAAGCCGCCCCCGTCGCACCATCGACCTTCACGTGCCAACAACGTCCAGGCCCGGCTTCTTCCCACGGCTGAACATACCCTTTGGGAGTCTTCCCTTGCATCCGCTGCAGCCGCAAGCCATTGGACATGTTTGCATTGCTGTGCTGTGTTTTCACGTGGATCCCAAGTCCTTGCTCGTTGACGAAGGTCATGGGACAGTGAGGGCACGGTAGGCGCCGCTCCGGGGCCGGAGGTGGGAAGTTGATACCGGACACATGCTCTGTGACACCACCGCGAGTCTGCTCAATCTGCACGGCGCGGTAGGAGAAGGGCGGAATTGGGGTGCAGGTGATTCAACGAGCTGTGGACCTGAAATTGCGTGGATGTCGATGGCAAGATATATCTATCTATGCAGATGGGGCGGGGGATGATTACATGACCGTCTCTCGTGTGTTTGGATCACGGTGCAGCAATTTTTTTTTTACAAAATACAGTTGGGACGGCGCTCGTGTACGCGTTCTTTTTCGCCATTGTGTCTACTGTACCATCCTTGCCTTCCGCAAGAACTTGAGGCAAACGGAGAATGTTTGAAAAAGTTGTACACATAAATGTACGGCATGCTGGAAGTCAGTCGTTTATACCAACCTGTGACAGAGTAGTTTTGCTCGTCTTTTTCATTTCATCACCACCGCGTTTTTTTTTTACCAACAGCAACAGCAGTAGCACTCCTGCTGTATTTACACTACATACAGCTGCTGGACCGCCGTACGACTGCTGTATATATGTACATCATCACAGCAACAGAGTTCGTCAGATGACTGAACTCACCGGTTTTCCGCTGCCACGAGCGAACGCGCTGATGATGTTGCCACCTAGAACACT